CACCTCCCAACGGGGGGCGGGAGGATGGTTGTGACTTTCAGGATTAACATGAGCGGCATTCAAACCCAATGTTTTTTGGTTTGCACTGGTGGCCGCTACCAGTTTCTCACAAGAGGAAGCGTTGTCACCCAACACTTCTTACACTTGGTCAATAAAACATTATGCACACAAACGCACGCACACACACACGGGTCAAAAAATGTAAAGAAACCGCACGTTAGCCGCTGTTCACGCGTCTGCACATTTGTCGTTATCTATGAAAACCAGAATGAAGGAAAGTATGGGGTTATGAAACTTATTTAAGGAATGTTCTAGTGCGACATACTAATAGTTGCAGTTCCAGAACCCATAACTCTTCAAGAATCCACATTATTGTTCTGTAATCATTGCCACGAACCAAGAACCGAATCGTCATCTTCAACTTTTCCACAACAACGCTCAACGCCCAGTAACCCCCCACCACTGGCAAATATACACACACACAAATACACTGATATAGAAAAAAAAAGATAAACTTTTTTTTTCCCCTGTGGACAACACATATTGATATTTAGCGCTGACCTTGATGCTCTGGTCTTTTAAACCGAAAGGACTGTTTCTCACTTCATGCTGAAAAAGAAAAAGATTGGTCAGGTTTCAAAAACAAGATGTACCAAAAAAAATTTTCTTCGGTATTCTCGCACTAATTCATTGATTCTACAGAGTGTTTGTCTACTCATCTAGCGGCAAGCAGGCCAGTGCCATCACAATATCGACTGATTCCCATTGTTATTGTAGGCTTATCCATGCACATAGAGGAAGAAAAAAAACGAAAAATGACACCGTTAGGCACAAAGCTTTGCAAAAAAAAAAATGGTACATTATGAAGCTGTAAACACCACTCCCATCAGCTTTTCTTTGGCCTACGAGAAGTAGTTGGTGAAACCTCACCCCTTGCTTCCCCTAAAGGGCCAGAAAACCATGCACAGACCCAACTTGAGTAGAAGGTATCAAATCGAAGACGGCCATCAATACTCACCTCCCTACTAGGGACAAATTATTCCTCATCCTTGCGAAAACCTTGAATTTTTTTTTTCAAGAGTGCCACACACGGCCATCACCTTCTAAGTCAGCACAATTGTAGAACATCAACACCGACAAGGTTCCCCGCAGTTAAACAGTGTGCATCTGTATGCAAATGCTTTCACGGCGGAGTTCTCTTTATATATATATATATATTGGCCCCAACCAATCAGACCTTCTCTTTTCTAAATAAACTCGTTTACAATGGCACACACAAACACACACATGATAAGGGAAGGGGAGAATCATTTTATTATAGCAGGCAACCCACTGATGTGGTCATGAGTGGCCGGCCTCCCAGTACCACACGTACCCCACAGTCCTGGTCAAACCGAAACAAGCAGAGCCTCGCTGTTTTCTAGGCCTTCCTCTCCCGGGCACGTCCTTCCACGCGGCCGTGTATATACAGCAACGGTGGCACGTGAAAATGAATCACGAAGAGTGCTTCCGTTCCTCTCTCTCTCTCTCTCTCGTCACTTCAAGGCTATTATGCTGTATAGATTGACAGAGTCGCTGCACAGCCGTCGACAGAATGCCACGTTTTTCCTTCCATAAGTTTTGCTTCGCTGTTTTGTTTCTTCCGTAGGCATTTCGTGGCTAGCACTACCACGTGCCTCACTTGCTCTCTTCACTCACCACAAACACAAAAACGTACTTAAACCGAAAAGATCCTCCACTGTGTATTCATATCAAATACAGTTTTCCAATACTATACCATCAAAACGGCCTTAGTAATATATACGATTTGTTTCTTGCTTATTTTTTCTTTGCCCTGCAATGCACTTCGAACAAATCATACCGTCTCCAAACCGGTCACCAATACCCACCAGCTTTATACCCTTTGCACCCGAGTGTAGTTTCTACATTGCTGAACACGAAGCGGAAACTGCAGCACGACAGGTTTATGCAATGGAACAACGTGCAGAGAAAGAGAGAGAGAGAGAGAGAGAGCGCACGATCTTATTTTGTGCCTACCACTGATTCAATACAACGCAAAGTCGCTCATCACCGACCCCAGAGACACTCACACCCTTTCACCATACACGCACACACACACACACGCAACCATGTCTGCACCGAAAGCAGGCATACTGGTGCCGTGTGAAATCATACCTCTTTTGCAAGAAGAGTCAAAATGAGGTTATGATCATAAAACGTGCTTTTCAATCCATCAAAACCAGTTCCACGGAATACCTCTTCCGATTCCAGAATACATTTGGCCTCGATCTCATCACCATTCAACACCTCAATTAGACTCTGGACGCCCTTTTTGACTTCAATCATGTCACTGCATCCCCCAACCGTAAATTCTCTCAGAACAGACAAAACAGAGAATACAGCGTCGTCCTTTCCATGAGTAAACCAGAGTTCTAGAAGATTCCGGAAGAAATTGTTACTATTCTTAATCTTGTTAGCCAACTCTGAAGGAAAGACTTCCGCCATGAAGGATCGGTAGTTCTTGTTCTGCACCAGTTGATGGGGTAGTAAAATCAAGTCACAGTACACAACAAGGAGAAGTAACGATTTGGACGTGACGGAGAGCACATGGTTATCTCTCGCCCAAGATTTCAGAAGTCCCAGAACTCTAAGAGCGATGTATGAACCTTTTTCCTCGTCATGACCCTTGTGTTGGTGCACTACCCTCGTTATGGCCGTCACCACGCCGAAAAAAGTCTTGGTTAAAAGTGCCACCAGGACTACCCTGTACAGAGGAGGAGCATTTCGAATGTCAGGCTGCCCATATCCCAGAATGTTAGGAATTAGGGTCGATAAAACTGAATTGAGTTCCGAGCACAACATCGTCGTTCCAGCAATGATCCGCTCCTCAAAAGAAGTGAAAACCGTATTTGAAAATGGAAGAATCTCGGGAAAACTGTCGCACATTTCCGAAACTCGACGTGTAGAAATCGAAGCAATCCTTCGTGTGCAGTAATCTAAACCAGTGAGCCAAAAAGTCTCCACAGCAAAAGAATAGCCTGTATCATCCGCAATGCTCCGTATGAGTTCCTTCCCCCGCACTGCGTACGCCTCAATGTTGAGGGGGTAAATTTCAGCAACTTGAATGGTCATGTTCTTCGTACAGGAAGACTCAGCGTCGCTGTGTGATTCCAAAATTGATCGATAAAGAACATACGTCAAAAGACTGAGCCAATTCCCCAAGTGGCGTGTCTCCTGGCACACCTCAACCGCAATATAGGCCACAAAATGAACAACAAAGTCCTCCAGTGTTTTGCCTTCACAAGTTCTATAAAACTCTAAAGCCACTTCTGCCCCTTTTGGAATCTGTACCTGTTTTTCAGAACCCTCACCATTTGTTGCCGCCTCTCTGACGAAATCGTGAATCCGCTTCACAACATCCTGGACAGACCTACCACAAGAAACAACAATCCTCTTGGATGGGGCCTTGGGAGGGAGCTTCACATATTTACTGCCTTTCAAGACATTTGGGCTTGATTTTTCCTGGCATGGACCCTCCAGGAACTCATTACTCCTAGTTAACGTTGCACAACCCTGTCCTTGTTGCGGCGGCGCTGATCCTGACGATTGTGGTGACATGACTGGTTGAGGGTGAATGTCTGGCGGTGAAAGCGCCCTTTCTGAAACAGCATAAAGCTGCCCTTCATCCTCACATCTATCTCCTTCGGATGGGGCAACTTCATTCTTCACCTTTTCCGAAGTTTCAATTACGCTTTCAACAACGCCTTCAAAATCACTCAGTGTATATGATTTAGTTGCGGCATCGCCAGAGATGTCACCAACATCCCGCTGAGACACAACCGATGATGAAGACAATGAAACACTTGCTTCGAGCATGTATGAAGTAAGTGAAGTGTTGGGAACCGACTGGCCACCCTGACTCCGATTGTAAATCGACTCCTCTGTCCCCTCCAACCGCAAATACAACTGTGGTGAACCGCCTTGGCTTTTGATTACTACTCTCCTATCAGGAAACGATTCTTCAACCACGTTCGTACTCAGATCGTAAGAGAAACTGGTTGGAACCTGTGAGGCAAACTCCACAATACGTATCTTAAGCTCTTTTTTTTTGTACCTTTTGTTACTCTGGCGTTGAAGTGTTGACGTAAAGACACGAGTCATTCCAACCTGCAGTTTCCCTCCCTCATCCGCTGAGAGAAGGGAGGACGAAGCGTGAATCTTGTCCCCCCGCTTAAAGTGCACTATGTACGCCTTACCCGGCAAGCACCCAGTCACCATATCGATTGACAGCCTAAACACAATACGCACATCTCGAGTTATTTTTCCTTCCATTTGCAAACGAACAAATTTAAAAAAATCGCTATGACAAAAAAAAAAAACAAGGTAGTGTAAAACACAAGACACACACACCCACTCACTCACTCACTCACTATCTCGCTCCAGAGAGAGACACACACACACGCGAACCCTTCACCACCACGAAAAAAAAAGTCTTTTCACCCCACGCAACTTCGTCAAAAGAGGCAAACCATGAACAAATTGGTCACCACTTCGGGGTGGTCGCCCTCGCCTTCACGGCCTCTTCTGCCTTCTGACGCTCCAATTCCTCCTTGAATATTGACGTCTCCTCTGCAGAACGAAGCACCCCAAGCCCTTCCATCTCTGTTCGCTCCCTCCTTGCTGTACTCCAACGACGCAGAATAGCTTCGTCTACAGACCACCCACTGAGAACCTTTTTATGCACTTCGGTAGGTTCACCATCTGGTTCCTCACTCGCCTTCACCCCTGTTTTAGGGTCGATGTTTTCAAACACAACCTTGCTAGGTTTATGTGCGAGCGAAAATAGAACTTTCGAAAAGTCAAAAACGGCATGCTCACATCTTGACATTTGTTGAATTGTCGGTAAGCCATCCATCCTGGAAAGCTGTGCCACTTTATTGTGGCCTATCGCGTTGAAGTTTTCAATACTACTAGGTGTGGGGCAAACAGACGCCACACGTAGACAGTGACGCTCACATAAATTGTAGTCTTCTTTTCTACGCTGTTCTGCTACAGCCATGTATTCACTCTCCCAACCTTTGGGAGCCCGACTCTTGTTCTCTATAACTCTTTCAGTTTTCTGTAGGCATAGCTTCGTACAATCAGCACACAGTGCGACAAGCGAAGATATGGAAAGGCCATTTGTTTCGTAGCTGTCTTTGCGTGTCTGAAGAGCCATAAGAGCAAGCTTAATANAGCGACCAAAAAAAACGAAAGAAAGAAGAGGAACGCAACACCCGATTTTGTAAACAACTCTGAGTCATCATTATACTACACCCTTCACTACTCTCAGAATCATCACCACACCCAGGGACCCAAAGTAGCCAAGAAAAAAAAAAAGTAGCTAAAAACAAAAAAACACAAGCACTCAGGTATATCTCTAGTCAAATAGACCAAAGCCCATATCGTCGTCCTCCTCCTCCTCCTCGGCGGCGGCGGCAGCAGCAGCAGGAGCGGCAGCAGCCCCAGCGGCAGGGGCTCCAGCAGAGGCGGCAGCGCCAGGGCGTGCAGCCCCTCCCACAAGCTTCGCCTTGCCCTCAG